AAAAAACCATAGGAAAAATTTGCCACTCATTGCAAAGTGCTTATTACATGTAAGTATATAGTAAAATGGTAATACATGTATTGAACATTGGTAAAGTATTGACCGAGGAGATCCATTCTATTTATATGCAATCGTGAATTATTCCCATTCACAGTAGTGATAAAATATTCATGCCCCCGCAGAATGACAACCAAGTCATGATTAATCCTTGTAGCGATGGTGAGATAGCCATCACAAGAGCCAACTTAAGGAAATGTGGTTGAGCATTATAATTCTTGCAATTGCAATCAATTTGAATATATTCTGAGCTGTGATCAGATTCAGGATTCCCATCAGTTAGAATACAATACATATGCAATTTACAAATTGACCTCGTCAGATAAGGCTGCGCATTTAGGTGCCTGGGAGCATGAAAATGATTTTAAATTTATGAACTCAAGACGCTATGTATATTGTATTGCTAAGTAGTAGGATAAAGATCGTATATTTTCTTTCCCCGCTGTACGTACATACCCAAGCGATATTTGTGTGTGGCACAAAGACTGAATGCATAATGCTAGAGTAAGGTGTGGGTAGAATTTTAATCGCATTTTTTATACCTGAATGTTTCCTATTTATTGTGATCGATGGTTAATGTTGAGATTAGTCAACTGTCTAGGAAATGATACATTTCCCTCTGTAATGGGGGGCTAATCTGCATAAATGCTGCACAGAGTCCAGGCATGAATGGCAATTAATAGTTTATATTTACTATTATGTAACGTTTGTTGTGTGGAATGCTGATGGCTTCTTGGAATACTATGTGATGTGTATCGTGATTGATAAGATGCTACAAATAGTGGAAATGGAGATGCAATTCAGGCTCCAGAAGGAGTGAATCACATGAGGGCAGGTGTATTGAAATTTGTTTTTAGATTACTGTGAATAATTATGTACATGTCACAACATGACATCACTTATGACCCTTGACATTAATGTAATCTATCTTTGCAAATACCCATAATGCATTGCAGTACAGCTTTTGCCACTTTCAATTAAAATAAATATATACTAGTACCATAATTTTTTGTATGCTGGATCATGGCTGGATGATTTTAATATGACTAATTTTGACAATGCCTCTGTAATTTACATGAGTGCAATTGAGTGCAATTAAAATGACAATTGTGGAATTTTGTAGAAGTGATTATTTAAAAAAAATTTTCGTCATCAAAACAGAATTGGATTCACATTTAAATTTTTTCTGTTTCATTTAATTTTTATTGACATTCTCTCTTTCTAGTGAAGATGCATGTTTTAACACATAGTGTCTGGATCACCCTTTACATCACTAATTAGTTGAATGACTAGTGTCAACCATTTTAATTTCATTTCTGATGCAAATATTGCGAATTGGTGAGACATCAATCACAAAATATTGTACCAGTGAACTTTTTATTTGAGATCTTTAAGACATAGAATCATAGCATCTTTTACTGGTGTCCCAGGGTGTCACTGACATTTTCTGGTGTCCTAGGGGGTCACACTGACATTCACCATGGGTCCTAGGGAGTCACACTGACATTCACCATGGGTCCTAAGGAGTCACACTGACATTCACCATGGGTCCTAGGGAGTCACAGCGACATTCATTGGTGTTCTATGGAGTCACAGTGACATTCACTTCTTGTAATCTAGGGAGTCACAGTTACATTCACCATGGGTCATAGAGAGTCACACTGACATTCACCATGGGTCCTAGGAAGTCACAGCGACATTCATTGGTGTTCTATGGAGTCACAGTGACATTCACTTCTTGTAATCTAGGGAGTCACAGTTACATTCACCATGGGTCATAGAGAGTCACAATGACATTCATCATGGGTCCTAGGGAGTCACAGCGACATTCACCATGGGTCCTAGGGAGTCACAGCGACATTCACCATGGGTCCTAGGGAGTCACAGCGACATTCACCATGGGTCCTAGGGAGTCACAGCGACATTCATTGGTGTTCTATGGAGTCACAGTGACATTCACTTCTTGTAATCTAGGGAGTCACAGTTACATTCACCGGTGTTCTAGGGAGTCACAGTGGCATTCACTGGTATTCTAGAGAATGCCCTGAAATTGTCACAAATTGCAAAATTTGATAGATACAAAAATATAATGGTTTGCAATTATACAGCCCTTGATTTATATGCTAATATTGTAATAAATAATAATAGTTTTGATATACATTTAAGCTTATTCTCGAGTAGGCTGACATCCAAGCATTCTACCACCATCAGCAGTGAAAACAAATGCCTGAAACTCTCAGAAAACTGTACTTTGTTGACACTCTTCTGAACAGTGTAGCAATACACTGTTTTCGTGACTTTGGCTATTTTCACTGAATCTTCAACCAGTGTTCCACAGCAGCTTGCACAAAACCCATAAAAGTGTATTGTACAGTGGTGTGTGCCCAAGCAACATAAAACGTTCTGTGACGTAGCTCAGTCCAGAGAATATAGTCAGGATAGGCAGTATTGATGTACAATATTATTTTCTTATGTTTCTATATGTTCTTTTGTAAAATGTAAATCAAGTCAATAAAATATCTATATGTGTATGGGGATGCAATTGACAATTTATTTTGCCTCTCTTCCACCGGATGAGGTTTCAACCATAAAAACATTGTACTTCACAATAAATTAAATATTTAAAAAAAAAAATAGAAAAATAATTTCATTACCATCATAAAAAAAATAAATAGGTCTAGTTGACAAGTAGATGAGTGGCTAGCTTGAACACTGGCAGTTGGAATTGATTGAGTCAATATTTGCATTAGCTACTCTCTTGTGCTTTATTTCATGAAGTATTGCATTCGACTTCTACATGCAGAGGGAGACCTTTAGTTAAGCCTAATCTCACATCAAATTTATTCTCTGTACTAAGAACACAATAGAAAACAAGACAGATTAAGAGTGTAAACGTGGACGTCCCTGATGCAATCCCTGGCCTGGGATTGACAGTTTCCTCTGTAAATCTTCATATCCTGATATAACTTTTTCACAACTACTTCCTTTTTTTCATCACAAATTCACAAAATAGTCTGCACTTTCCTTCAGAAGATTGGGACAAAAATAGCCAATTTTTTTTAGTTAAAACTGGAAATTTACTCAAATTTTGTCTGTTATCTCCAATATTAGGGTTCATTTCAAGTAATATTAAAGAATATAAGAAAAATGTGCAGAAACAATTTGGGCAAGAAAGTCTGCTGTGAAAAAGGTTAACAACAATATTTTAAAACATGCCAACCATATTGGCTGTGATTAGAAGTGCACATAAACTAATAGAGTGTATTGAATCATTAAAATACATCAATGTTTGACCATATTTCATATATTATCAGTTATTATTATTGATTTTTTGATTCATAATGCATATCATATGGTTTATATTTTCAACATGCTCATATGAATGAATGAATGAGTGAATGAATGAATGAGTGAATGAATGAATGAATAAAATAATAATGCTAAAATTAATGTGTAGGGTAGTAATATGAAATAATAACAATGGAATAAATAAAAAAATAGGTGAAATAAATTATAATCTCTTCAAATTACCAAAGGAGATTAAATCATTAAATGGTACACCATTTTACTCTGCGGGCAATTTTACCAATATGTTATCACACTGGGATGACTGACAACCTCATTAAAAATACATGTATAGCGCCCTCGCACGACAATCTTGTAAAATTATTGTTGATAACAATTTTATATCAGGGTTAGACTGTAATTTTACCATGATTTGCTTTATGTGCCACAAGTTGATCCTCAGATTCCAGTAATATATTTCAACATTTTTTTTCTGATAAGAAAAGTCCCTGCTCATAATAATATTGTGCAGTCTTAATTTCCATAAGGAATGGATTCCCACTGTATATTTACGTTGAATATTTCCTAATACTACAATAGACCATTTTGTGCTCACTGCGAGATCCTGCGTTATACGTGAAGTCGAACGTAAAAACAGAACAAAGGCCGTAGTATCGTAGTGGGAGATATTTCCATGCTTAATAATGTGATGATGATAAGTAATTGTATGCAAATGCAATATTCTCGTGTCAAAGATCGGCCTTTTGATGTGAGCTACGAAATAAAGAAATTTGAGTTCAGAATCAAATTGTTTTTTTTGTGGCAGGCCCACATCTTTCACACAACTGGCGAGATCTTGCAGTTGAACGGAAAATCACCTATTATGAGTAATCAATATCTCTGTGTATACTAGTAGTTCCGTGGTCAAAAAAAATCATATTCTACTAATCCAGGATACAATAAATGCAATTTTTGGTTTAGAGTTGTGCTTTTAAGACCTAATAACAAAATGTGTGTTTCCAGTAACTTGCCCGATTTGCATGCTAATGGTGTAATCTTTTCATGGCTATTAAACTTGATAGTGGCCATTAGAGGAGCTGTCTTCCTGTTCCTAGCTGCATGCATGCAGGACATATTCTTTCCATAAAAATGTCAACCCATTCATTGTCATGTATTTAAAAATTCCATTTTAATTTGTGCTGATGTTTAACACTATGACCCAACATACCCTGCAATATCGAGTTGAAAAAAATATATTTGACAAAATAAACTGTTTTACATAGAACAAACACCAAACACAAAAAATTTGGTACATCGTATGTGAATTATTAGTAGTCCATGCAGTTAATTACAGAGGTATTCCTATGGTTGAAAATAAGTATTATTTTATTGATTCAGTCTATGGGTACAACTAGATTAGATGTGATTTTTTGTTTATATGCGCTTCTTTTGGAGATGTGCTTTTAATAGAAAAAATACAGTACATGCAAATAGAGTTAGAAGACAACACATGTAACCATTAGCAGCATAAGTACTTAAATTACTGACGTATGACGAGCTAACGAGAATATGTGTAATACTGTTCCACTTCCGTTACAAATTTAATGCTAAATTTCTGCTCTTTGTGTATATGTAACTTCTACTTTTTCCTTATACAGGCGAAAGAACTGGCGTTTAGTAGGAAGTGATTGACATGCATGGGTATGAGTGACGAGCAGTCATCAAGCGGTAATTAAGGCACATCAATACTGAGTTGTGCTAAAAGGTGAGTTTAGTGATCTGAACACACTCTGGCAGCAATGTATAGTATAAAGTCAGATTGTAGGTTTTAAAAAGCTTTGCTGAGTTATCTCTAATCATGTATTTCATCTTCAGTATAAGCACTTATAGTTGTACCCACCTTTTGCACTGTCATCTGTACAAAACCATTTTAATAGTTTGTTTATCTGCATTTCAGTTTATATTGGAGCAAATACTGTATTTATTATAGGGTTCTATGGCATATTGTAACCATAGAAACAGGCATGATTATTTTTGTGACATAAAATACCAAATCAATACATTACTTGTGACAATTCTGGTTAGTGAGTTGGGTCTGTAGATACAAAAGTAATATTTTGCACAAGGGGATGGGTAAACCCGTTGTTAAAACTCCATCATATGTCACGCTGAAAACTGGTAAATAAACTGATAAATATTTATATAGAGTATAAAAATGAAATGAAAACATGTAGCAATAAAAGTTGTGATATAAAGCCGACTGTAAGCTACATCTGTGCAAGTACCTGTAAAATCTGTATTAGAAGCCGCATCCCTAATAGAAGTCGCACCCATTCTTTTTGAATGTTTGAGAACCAAAAATTCATCATTTCTCATATGTGTAGATGCTCTAATAGAAGCCGCATCCCCTCTGTTGCATTGTACCATTTTAATAGAAGCCGCGGTTTCTAATACAGATTTTACAGTAGTTGAAAATTCTATCATGGGGAATCTGTATCAGAAGCTACACTACCTATTCCTGTTAAGTCAGTCTGGCAGTAGTATGCAACATCTAGTGTGGGAACGTACAGTTTTTTAGCTCTGCTGTCGACTTTGTCGAGTGGAGCTTATCATATGAGTGATTGTCCGGCGGCGTCCGCCGTCGTCGTCGTCCGTGTCAATGTTTTACTTTTTCGACTTCTTCTTGAAAACTACAAGCCTGAATGCTTTGATACTTCGTGTATATGTACCTTGGGTAGACCTCTCTCAGATTTGTTCATTTAATGATGATATCTTCAATTCTCTAATTTTGGTGAATATTTTTGTCATTTTTGGTAAAAAGTGATATTTTCGACTTTTTGTTAAAAACTGCAAGTCCAATTGCTTTGGTATTATATATATTGGTACTACATGTGGACCTCTCTCAGGTTTGTTCATTTCGTGATGATATCTTTAATTCTCTAATTTTGGTGAATATTTTTGTCATTTTTGGAAAAAGTGATATTTTCAACTTCTTGTTAAAAATCGCAAGTCCAATTGCTTTGATTTTAAATATATAGGTACTATATGTGGACTTCTCTCACAACTGTTCATTTTGTAATGATATCTTCAATTCTCTAATTTTGGTGAATATTTTTGTCATTTTTGGTAAAAAATGATATTTTTGACTTCTTGTAAAAAACCGCAAGTCCAATTGCTTTGATATTACATATATAGGTACTACATGTGGACCTCTCTCAGATTTGTTCATTTTGTGATGATATCTTTAATTCTCTAATTTTGGTGAATATTTTTGTCATTTTTGGTAAAAAGTGATATTTTCGACTTCTTGTTAAAAACCAAAAGTTCAATTGCTTTGATATTACATATATAGATACTATATGTGGACTTCTCTCACATTTGTTCATTTTGTAATGATATCTTCATTCTCTAATTTTGGTGAATATTTTTGTCATTTTTGGTAAAAAATGATATTTTTGACTTCTTGTAAAAAACCAAATGTTCAATTGCATT